GCTGCAACTAACTGGCCTGCTTCTCCTAGGCCCTGCCACCCAGGCTGGAAAGGTAAGGGATCTTTACATTCCGGGATGTTTCGATGTTTTACTACCCTTGTGGGAGGCTTCTCTCCTGTCCCCGCATGGAGAGCCAGAGCTGATAGAGGGAGTTCATCTGCACTCTCCCCAGATTTGAACCTGCAACCTGTCGGTCTTCAGTCCTGCTGGCACAGGGGTTTAACCCTCTGTGCCTCCGGGGGCTCCTGTTACTGTTATTAAAGGAGGCTATCTAATTTAGGAGCCCCCGATGGTGCAGTGGGTTAAAGCGTTGAGTTGCTGAACTTGCTGACCGAAAGGTCTCAGGTTTGAATCCGAGGGGCAGACAACACCAACTCTTCAGCTTAGAAATGGAGATAAGCACCAACCCCCAGAGTCAGACACGACTGGACACCAGGGGAAAATCTTTACCTTTACCTATCTTAATTCATCTGGCGCCTACATAAAGCATTTGCTTTGGATATTTTTTTCTAAGTAGTAGGAGAAACCATATTGACACTTTTTTTCTCCATGAACATAATTTACAACCAATATTCCTTCCGTAATCTTCCTGACAAACTGGCAAAATAGTTTTGTTATCATGTTCTTCCTGTCTACACCAGCAAAATCACTGTCCTGCCAGGTCCATTTTAACTGTTCTAGCCACACCCACATATGGCACCTTTTGGTCCTATAAATGCCATTATCATACCATGTAATATCTTCTCTGTATAGGTTCTCTCATACACTTTTCTTTATTAGCTTGCAGTTTTAAAAACCTCAAGAAAAAGATATAATTGTGCTTTTACCTGTAACAGAAAAATAATCAGCTAGGTGTATATCAGAGGTAAATTTATTAATGTGTCAAAGGTGTGTAAAATTATTACTACCGTGTATTAATAAAAAAAGGAAAAACTATTTTCAGTTTTTTCTACATTTATGAAGAATATCATGAAAATAAATATGAAATTGAATCCAATCTTGATGTGTGTAGTACCTCTGTGTATGCATATGCCTTTACATGACCTGTCAAATTATGGCACCCCAGGAATTTTATAGGCCTTTCTTAGTCAAGAAGTATGCAGAGATGGTTTTGCCATTCCCTTCCTCTGAAATATAGCTTACAGTATTTGGTATAGTGATCCTCCATCCAAGTACTAACTGAGGCTGACCCTGCTTTGCTTCCAGGATCAAGAAGGATCTGGTGCTTTTAGGGTACTAGCATACATCCATTGCAATCCACAGGACTTAAGTTACTCATGACCAGTTTGTCTCACTGATTTCAGTGCATGCTAAAATCACTGAGACAAATTGGTCACGACTAAGTGAAGCCTTGTGTAATTTAGTTGATCAGTTCTAAGCATAACTAAATCTGGAGTGAACTTCCTAAATGTTTACAGTGATTTAACTTTAAATGTGCTTTGAATATGTTTCAATGGTTTTTATCTGAATTTTTAATACTGTTTATATTTAATTCTGTTTTGATGTTTGCATATTTGTATATTTAAAATTGTGTGCTAATGCTTTTAGGTTAAGCCACTTTGAATCCCCTTTGAGATAAAGTGGAGTATAAATATAATAATAATAATAATAATAATAATAATAATAATAATAATAATTTGTTATACTGATTTACTGAAGTCATTCCTTCTGTGTCTTCTATAGGGATCTTGGAGTGATGTAGTAGGAAGACCATATTGCCTACTTGTCTGCATTCTCTTCAGTGCATTAGGTTATTTTGTGCTTAGTATGTCCACTAATATTTTCCTGTTTGCTGTTGCTCGCATTTTTGTGGGTAAGTAGTAATTTGCCATTTAGACTCAATCTCAATCAATAATTAATACTATATCAGGAATTATAAATCAATGTGTTTGTTTAGTTCAGAAAAACAACAATTCTGAACAGATATGTTATGCATCAGCAAAAAAGTTAAACATGTTTAATACCAATGTTTTTCCAACAGAAAACAGAAGATATAATTCTGCTATATATTTTATTTTTAAATTAAATTGTACCTGTTCTTGTCATAAAAGGTGCAACAATTTGGAAACAGATTGGAACTTGGAAAAGTTATTTGTTCAGTCTATACTTTCAGAATCCCCCAGCTAGCATGGCAAAGGTGATATTTTATATTTTGAATTGGATTTGTATTTATAGCAGTTCATTGCTTATGTCAAAAGATCATCGAAAAGCTACATAATAACAAATATGAACTGATTATAGACAAGAATATATGCATATATCACTGTTGTACAATATAAAATTATGGGAAAGGTTGGTTTCTGCAGAATTCAAAACGCTTGTCATCCAGGAGACTTGGAACAACCCACAATAATTTTGCTAATAAAACAATTCAGTGAGATAGATGTGCAGTATGACGAATGAGTTCACAAAGCCGTCTCACATCCTGCTTCAAGAGCAATGCAGGCTATAAGAGACCCTGCTGTCTGTACCATTCAATAAAAATGCTATTTATTTCTTTTTTTTTTTTTGTTTAATAATTTTTATTAGATGATTTTACTTTTTCCTTCAACATAATTACATACTAGCATACATACAAACATTCCAAATCAAGTATTGTTTACAATAAGTTGTTATTACATACCTTTTCATAAACAGGGGAGGGGGAAAGAGAAAAAAAAAAAAAAAAAGGGGGGGGGGGAGGGGAAGGGGAAGAATAGTTGAGAAATGAGAAGAATAGTGAGGGGAAAAATAATTGTGAGAATATTCACTCAAACATACCTACATACATTTGGACTTCCCAACAATAATTCAGGTGATAATTACATCCTTGTTCCATCGCTATTGTTAATCTTATTGCAGTCGACAATAATCAAAAGAAGCTCATACATGTAAGTTTTTCTTTTCTTTATAGAATTTTCTAAGTGGGTACCAATCTATTTTTCTCTTTACGCTTATATCATCTAACAAATTAGATAATGTGTCTAACTCCATAAGATCCCTTATTTTAAGTAACCAATCGTCCAATGATGGCAGTTCTTTCAGTTTCCATTTGGTCGCTAATACTATTCGTGCTGCAGCTGAGAGATGAAATAGTAAACTCTCGTTATTTTTCCCCATTTCAAAATCCAGCAGGTGTAAAAGATAATAATCTGCTTTCATTTCAAACTTTATCTGCAGGATCAACTGCACATTTCGATGGACCTCCTTCCAAAATTCTTTTACTTTTTTGCAATCCCACCAACAGTGTACAAATGTACCCACTTTTTTACCACATTTCCAACATAAGTTACTACCACCGTTGCGGAATTTTGCTACCCTTACTGGTGTTAGGTACCATCGTGTATACATCTTATACCAGTTTTCTTTAATATATACAGACTTTGTAAGCCTTATTTTTT